CCCCTCTGCAAGCACCGTCCCTTGCATGTCACGCGCTCGGTGGCGAGGACCGTGGGGCGTGGTGCCGGGCGCTCTGGTCAGAGGTTACCTTTGCCCCGAAAAGGCGAGACGGGGAGCGAGCTTCCTAGTTGTCAACGAGGGGCCGGCCCAGCTTCTCAGCGCACTCCCCAGCCGCTCGAGTTGTAGGAAGCAGGCGCCCTGTGGTCGCTTCGTCCGGGGCAGCACTGGCAAAAGCGGCGTTTCTCCCCGTCAGCGTTGCCAAAGCCGCCGAGTCTGGGTCTGCACGGCGTCTGGTGAGACCGGCCGCTCGCTACCTGGTGTCGGGCCGACGTGGACTTAAATGGATAATACGTCTTGGCAGGTGGACGGGCGGCTCTGTTTGGATTTAACCCTGAGGGCCCCACGAGAGAAAGGTCGGTGGGACGGCTCAGCTTCCCCCTGGGCCGAGGCCGGCGGGACAGGGCTGTGGATCTCATTGATAGGAAGGCAGAGCGTGGAATTGGCGGCCAGCGTGTGAGTGTGGGAGCCCAGGCCAAAACGGGGCCTGGTGCCTGGCTCAGTGGGCATCAGGAGTGAGCTCCTGGGGTCTGTTGGCCTGACGTTTTGGGGGACTGGAGCCCCGTAACAAAGCTGAATTAATCTGCAAATAAAGGCCAACGTGGGCCGGCCGCCGTGGCTGTGGTTGAGCGTCCACCTGTGAGCCAGGAGGTCAGGTTGGATTCCCGGTCGGGGCCCAGGCCCAGGTTGTGAGCTCGATCCCCAGTGGGGGGCGTGCGGGAGGCAGCCGATCCATGATTCTCTCTCATCACTGATGTTGAGGTCCCTCTGCCACCAGGAATCGAGCTGTGACCTCCTGAATCATAGCTCGACGTTCAACTCCGGAGCCACACTGGCTGGTCTAAAGAAACTTCAAAAAAATTTAAGTAAAACAGATAACAGAGGAATGTGCACAGAGCACACAGCCGTCCACAAGGGGAACCCTGGGCTGTGGTGTCAGCTCACCCGGTCGAGAAGTCGGGGAACGCCAGCACCCAGCGCCCTCCGACCCCTCCTGCTCTCTGCCCCCCTCTCTCCCCAGGGGCCACACTGTGGTCCTAAGAGAATGCAGTCCGTCTCAGCTCGAACTGGAGTGATTCTCGGCACGACCACCGGCCAGAGGCTCCACAGCCCTGGGCAGAGCTGTTACAACGGGAACTCTGGTTATCCAAGTCCTTTTAACAACGAGTATTTGGGGCCCAGGCTGTTTTTTGGCCATCGGAACTCTCTCTCTCTCTCTGTCTCTGTCTCGCTCTCTCTCTCTCTCTCTCTCTCTCTCTCTCTCTCTCTCTCTGTCTCTCTCTCCCTCTCTCTCTCCCTCCTCCAGAAAGACAACCAACCAGTTTCTGAACTGCTCCCGCCTGTGCACTCGGCGCCGTGGCTCTGAGGCTGCATGTGGATCAGAAAATTCCTGCTTTCGCCCCAAAGCTCAGGCCCCAGTACAAAGCGGTGTTTCTGCTGGAGCAGAATTGGCGGCGGGCACAGCGCGGGGCCGGGCTGCTCGCAGGACTGCCAGCTGGGACTTGGCTGTGTGCTCATGCCCGTAAAAGGTTGCTTCAAGCACAGAAACAGGACAGGCATCATATTAAACGCGTGCGCGCGCACACACACACGCACGCACATACATGCACACGCACACCACCCAGAAGCATGGCCACCAGCATGCTACCCACACATGCCCCCGTTCAGAGGTGTTTGCAGAAGGAAATGGGGTTGGAAATTCTTTGAATGGAAAGAGGGAGAAAGGGGCTGGACGCTGTTCAGAGACCAGTGAGTCCGGGAGGTTTTGCTGAAAAGCCGGTTCCCAACGAGGCGGATCGAGGGCTGCGGCCGCCGCTGGGTCAGCGGTTTCCAGCCCTCAGTGCTGACGCAGTTGGAGCTTCTGACGGTTCCCGGGGGGGGGAGAGGGGCGGCCTTCTGTGTCTCTCCACCTGTCCGTCAGCTCAGCTCCCGTGGGATCAGCCTGCCCACCTGCTCCCTGCCTCAGCCGACCCATGATTCTCTCTCATCATTGATCTTTCTCTATCTCTCTCTCCCTCTCCCTTCCTCTCTGAAATCAATAAAAATAAATAAATAAAACGCCACAGTTTAGACCAGTGATGGTGAACTTATGACACGCGTGTCGGAGGTGACACGCGAACTCATTTTTTTGGTTGATTTTTCTTTGTTAAATGGCATTTAAATATATAAAATAAATATCAAAAATATAAATCTTTGTTTTACTATGGTTGCAAATATCAAAACATTTCTCTATGTGACACGGCACCAGAGTGAAGTTAGGGTTTTTCAAAACGCTGGCACGCCGAGCTCAGAAGGTTCGCCGTCACTGGGCTAGTCTGTGAATGTGTGGGCTGGGCAGTCACAACCACGCTCTAGGGACCGCCATGCTCTGCTTGAGACACCCAGAGGGGGTGGGCTGGTATTTGCGATGTTGCTGCGAAGGGCGCTCTCCCAGGGGGTACTGCAGGCTTCACCGCCTTTACCTCCCAGCAAACCAGGGCTGGAGCCGACGAGGGGACTGCCCTCACCTCACGGGGCAAACACCGTGCCCTTGGCAGTGGTGCCCGGGCCGGGGTCCGAACCCGCCATGTCCAGCCGTGCTGTGGAGGGTTCTGGCTGCCTGTGCCCATGCACGAACACCGTGACATCGACCTGGAGTGACCTTGACCTGGAGTGACCTTGACCTTGAGTGACATGACGGTCCATGCACGTGGACTGCAGCCCCTTTGAGAAGGGGGGACCCCTGAGACGTCCTCGTGTTTACAGAGCAGGCGTGTGGCCGCCGCGTGCCGTTCGCTGACCAGCGTTTGTGACCGACGTCTGGGGCCGCGCTGAGCCTGGGACTGGTCTTCACTGTGGCTGGGGGGATGTCGTAGGGAGGCGCCCGCCTGCCCACCTGCACCTCATGGCTGGCGGCTCCCGATCGTGACCCAAGAGCCTGATCGTCGGGAACGGCCAAGCTGACGTGCGTCGCTGGCCACTCCCCCTGAGGGCGACGTCCTCATACCCTCCTGTTACCGACAGGAAACTGAGGACAGAGGCCAGGCTGGGCAACGCTGACCCCAGCACCGACCGGTCTCCCCCCCTGGTCCCGCCAACGCAATGCAGCTGCCACTCCTTTCTCGTCCCGGGAGGCTCCGTGGCAGGAGGGAGCGGGTTCCACGTGCGGAGTTTGCTATTTAAACAGGGCTGTCAAAAGGCTATATTTTTAGAATTCCTTGCCACGGGCACGGATGAGATTGTGCGCCGGCCGGGCCCAGCCCCCGGCTTTTGCTCACCTCCTCCGGCTCCAGGGAATCCCAATATAGTTCCTGCCGTCCGTGCCTTTGCCTCTGGCTTAGTCGGATCTTATTTTAATTTAAGGACTAAGACGCTCGCTGAGCTGGGCGTGGGGGAAGCCGGGAGCCACCGCCTGGTGTGTTAGTCCTGTTTCCCGAAGGTGGACGCACAAGCCCCCGATGGCAGAGGCCTCCCCAGAGCCTGTCTCCCCGTCCCGGACAAGCTTAGGCCACGCCCGCGTGGGACCCGCCCTGTGCTGGGAGGGCGCTGGGGGGGGGGAGCTGGTGTGTGACTTGGGATGCTCCTTCCTGATAAGAGGCAGAGAGGAGGAAGCCAGCCGCTCCCGCCCTTTCCTTCCTGCGCGGATGGGGCGCTCACTCGAGGGTGCGATGTTCGGAGCTTCGGCAGCCGTTCTGTGACCGCGAGGGGAGACTCACCCACATGTGGGGACGGCTGGGCAGCAGGACAGCGAGCGCTGGGGTCCGCGGCCTTGTTTTTTAAAAAATACATTTTTATAGATTTCAGAGAGGAAGGGAGAGGAAGGGAGAGAGAGAGAGAGAAACATCAACGATGAGAGAGAACCATGGACCGGCTGCCTCCTGCTCGCCCCCCACTGGGGTGGAGCCCGTAACCCGGGCTGTGCCCTGACCGGGACTCCAACCGTGACCTCCTGGTTCAACCCCTGAGCTACGCCGGCGGGGCCGGAGCTGCCATTTAAATAGACGTTTGAAAGTACACGTTTCCCCAGTTGCCTGTGGCGGGAGCTGGGACTGAGCGGAGGCAGCGGGGGGCCGGCCGCCCCGTTATCCCGAATGCTGACTGGGGGCTCCCAGAGTCCGTGATCGGACAAGGGGACTGAGAGGCGGGCTCTTCCCACCACTATTAGTTTGTCTTTTTTCCTCCATCAAATGTCAGGAGTTCTAAAATCCTGAGAGACAACCTCAGGGCCAAGGAGGGTTGTGGTTTGTGGGTAAAGTGTTTTCTGTTCCGTGGACGGGAAAGAGGAATCCCCAAGACGGGGCCCGGCTCCCGCGATGCCGCTTTAAACGCTCCTCGGGGAGCGGAGAGCGTGCCCGCGGAATGAGGGCGGGCGGGGGCGGGGTGGGGTTTATGTCTCCCCTTTGCGTTCCGCCTTCTTAAGATCTGAACACGCCTGCGTCGGTGCAAGTAGCCTTCTCCTCTCATCTTGGAACAGAACCGTGAGACGCCGACTCCAGAAAATGCGGCGATTTTCTCCTCTCCTCTAAGTAGAAGTAGCACGTTATGGTTTGCACATGTGTCTCTCCCTTTCATGTGCCCCTTCCCATTACGCGCCCTGTCTCTCCGGCCTTTGTAGTTGCAAAGGTGAGGTTTTCCTGATAAACACCCGCGTCCGCGGCAGCGTCTCGGCCAGGCTGCCGGAGCGGGCCTGTCACCGCGGGTTAGCGTCATCCTCGCCTGCCGGCCGCTCGGCCGGGCGTCTGGGGGGCTCCCGTCTCGGCGGGTGCCATCGGCCGTCTTGCTGCATGGCACGGGTTCTTTTAAAAATTTTTTTTTTTATTGATTTCAGAGAGGAAGGGAGAGGGAGAGAGACAGAAACATCGATGATGAGAGAGAATCATCGATCGGCTGCCTCCTGCAGGCCCCCCACTGGGGATGGAGCTCACAACCCGGGCCTGGCCCCGACTGGGAATCGAACCGTGGCCTCCCAGTTCCTAGGCTGACGCTCACCACTGAGCCACGCGGCCGGGCTGCATGGTCTGGAATTGAGTCCAAGGGGGTAGGAGAGCAGTGACGCTTGGATCCGGCCCCGGTGTCACCTTGAGGGACACCCCTTGCTCCTCGCGCCCCCCTCCCGCCCTGCCCTGTGAACTGGGGTTGTTGGGAGCATTAAACCCCAGAAGCCGTGACAAATCCCACCCACGGGACAGCTGACACACAGAAATGCATTCGCGCACAGTCCTGGAGGCAGGAAGCTGGCCGTCAGGGGCCAGGGCGGACGGGCTCCCTCTGGAGGCTCCGGAGGATCTTCCTCGCCACCTCCAGCTCCCGGGACCGCCAGCACACGTTGGCTTGTGGCCGCATCACCCCAGCCTCTGCTTCTGTCTTCCTGGGCCTCCTCTGTGTCCCTGGGGGGCCTTTTCTGTCCCCCACCAGGACACCCTGATGGGGCGAGGGCTGACGCGTAGTCACGACCTCATCTCCATCCCTTTGTTCCTCCGTCAAGTCCTGATTTCCAGACCAGGCCCAGCTCCAGGTTCCTGGCCGACGGGTGTTCGTAGGCGCCGTGACTCCACCGGTGGCTGTGGGCGGAGCTGGGTTTCCGAGGCCCATGCAGAAGGTTAGGTACCGCCTGGGTCCCCTGGAAAGGGCAGGCTGTTCACACAAGGCCTCAGACACGGCCTTGTAGGGTCACTGGCCAGGGGGTCCCAGGCCGGATGCTGGGAGCCGGGAGCCAGGTGGGCCCAGTCCCAGCCCCTCTGGAGCCCGTGGTCTCACAGAGCGACGTATAAACAAGTCATGACAGCACTCCTGGTTACCACCCGGCCAGTGTGGCTCAGGGGTTGAGGTCGACCTATGAACCAGGAGGTCAGGGTTCGATTACAGGTCAGGGCAGGTGCCTGGGTTACAGGCTCCATCCCCAGTGGGGGGCGTGCAGGAGGCAGCCGATCCGTGATTCTCATCACTGATGTTTCTCTCTCTCCCTCTCCCTTCCTCTCTGAAATGAATGAAAACGTATTTTTAAAAAGGCCTCCTGTTTATCAGGTGGTGGGCCCAGCACTGCGCCCAGAACAGGGCTCCCATCGCTGGCGGCTTCCACCTGGTCAGGGAGCCGGCGCTCCAGGCGCCTCCGCCTGCCCCTGGGGGTCCCCCTGCCTCCCGGCTGGGCTGGCGGCTACTCACAGGTTAACCTCCCCGTGGCTCTCGGATGGCGCCTGCCCTGCCCGCGGGTTTTGGCCTCGGTCGTTGTTGGAAGTGGCTCAGCTGGCTCAGGGCGCCTTCATTCTTTCCCCTGGTGATGGATGTCTACACCCCTTTTCAAAGACAAAACAAACTGTTTGCTCAGCCTCCCGGGAAGAAGTGGGCCAGGGGTGGCGTGGGAAGGCCGCCGGCTCGCTGTTCCCCGGCCGGCTCCCTGCGTGTTTCCAGAGATTCCTCCCACTCACCTGGTTTCCCTCCCTCGTTGCAGTAAAAACCCAACCACACGCAGCTCAGCTCTCCTCCTCCTCCCCCTGCTCCCCGTTGAAAATGGGCCGACGTCTCGCTGCCTTCCCTCGCGGTTCCTGTGGTTTCCAGGGACCCGCCTGGGGCACGGGAGGGCCTTCGAGCTGATGGAGGACGGCCATGCTGTCTGAAGGCTGGGAGCCATGTGGGGAGGCGAGGTCTGTTTGGCAAAGCTCCGGAGAAACGATCTCTTGGGCAAATTTCCAAAGTAATGGTTCTGCGAGGCAGGAAGTTAGGGTCACGTGGACGGAAGGTGCTCATCAGAACCGGCTGACTCAGTCCTGGGGTTCTGGTTCCTTCCGTCCAGGGGAGGCGGCGAGGGCGTGTCTCAGAAGCTCCTGTACCGGCCGCAGAGCCAGGCAGGATGCTCAGGGCCACCCCTGACCCATCCAGTCGGAGTCCCAGGTGTGAGAGCCAGGCATCCCTGGACTGGGCTTTCAAGCCCCAGGTGATTCCAATGTGTGGGCCAGTCGAGAACCAGGGCCCTGCTCAGACTTGCACAGAGGGCACTAGGGTTAGGGCTAGGGTTAGGGTTAGGGTTAGGGTTAGGGTTAGGGCTAGGGTTAGGGTTAGGGTTAGGGTTAGGGCTAGGATTAGGGTTAGGGCTAGGGCTAGGGTTAGGGTTAGGGTTAGGGTTAGGGTTAAGGTTAGGGCTAGGGTTAGGGTTAGGGTTAGGGCTAGGGTTAGGGTTAGGTTAGGGTTAGGGTTAGGGCTAGGGTTAGGGTTAGGGCTAGGGTTAGGGTTAGGGTTAGGGCTAGGGTTAGGGTTAGGGTTAGGGCTAAGGTTAGGGCTAGGGCTAGGGCTAGGGCTATGGGTAGGGTTAGGGTTAGGGCTAGGGCTAGGGCTAGGGTTAGGGTTAGGGTTAGGGTTAGGGTTAGGGGTTAGGGTTAGGGCTAGGGTTAGGGTTAGGTTTAGGGTTAGGGTTAGGGCTAGGGTTAGGGTTAGGGTTAGCGCTAGGGGTAGGGCTAGTGTTAGGGTTAGGGTTAGGGTTAGGGTTAGGGTTAGGGCTAGGCTAGGGCTAGGGTTAGGGTTAGTTTTAGGGTTAGGGGTTAGGGTTAGGGCTAGGGTTAGGCCTATGGTTAGGGTTTGGGTTAGGCCTAGGGTTAGGGTTAGGGTTAGCGCTAGGGGTAGGGCTAGGGTTAGGGTTAGGGTTAGGGTTAGGGCTAGGGCTAGAGTTAGGATTAGGGTTAGTGTTAGGGTTAGGGTTAGGGCTAGGGCTAGGGCTAGGGTTAGGGTTAGGGTTAGGGCTATAGTTACGATTAGGGTTAGGGTTAGGGCTAGTGCTAGGTTTATTGTTAGGGTTAGGGTTAGGGTTAGGGTTAGGGCTAGGGTTAGGTTTAGGGTTAGGGTTATGGTTAGGGTTGGGGCTAGGGCTCGGGGTATGGTTAGGGTTAGGGTTAGGCTTAGTGTTAGGGTTTGGGCTAGAGTTAGGGTTAGGTATAGGGTTAGGGTTAGGGTTAGGGTTAGGCTTAAGGCTAGGGCTAGAGTTAGGATTAGGTTTAGGGTTAGGGTTAGGGTTAGGGTTAGGGCTAGGGTTAGGGTTAGGGTTAGGGCTAGGGCTAGAGTTAGGATTAGGGTTAGGGTTAGGATTAGGGTTAGGGTTAGGGTTAGGGTTAGGGTTAGGGTTAGGGCTAGGGTTAGGGTTAGGGTTAGGGCTAGGGATAGGGTTATTGTTAGGGTTAGGGTTAGATTTACAAGTAGGTTTACGTTTATGATTCAGGTTTGAGTGAAGGTTAGAGTTACTGTCTGGTCGCATCCTGGCCTCCATGGCAGCAGTTCTGTTAGGGTTAGGGTTAGTGTTAGGGTTAGGGTTAGGGTTAGGGTTAGAGTTAGGGTGCGAGTTAGATTTACAAGTAGGTTTACGTTTATGATTCAGGTTTGAGTGAGGGTTAGAGTTACTGTCTGTGCGCATCCTGGCCTCCATGGCAGCAGTTCTGTTAGGTGTCTGTGTCAGATTTCCAAGGAGTTTCTTGGTGTTGCTTGTTGCAGGTATCACAGACCTGGCTTGCGGACCACAGCCCTGAAGGAAGAGCCTTTCCCTGAGGTCACATGACTCTCATCTCCTTTGTGGCCTCTTTCTCCACCTCCTTCCCCCCCTTCTCTCGTCCCCTCGTGGACCTCACGTTTTCCTGGGCCCCTTGGCCGGGAGTCTGTCTGGAGGCCTCCCTGGTGCTTGTGGCTGGTGTCACATACTCTTGGAAGGGGCCCTGCTTTCACTCTTACTTTGGCCGTCCTCCCGGGGACGGGACAGGGAGCCCTTATGGATCCACATTCCCTGCATCTGCTCCTTCCCTTGGCGGAGGCTATGCTGTGCCCCCCTCCCCTGCCCAGGGAGGACACCCCTCAGCACACCTCAGAGACATAGCTCAGACGCGGCCCCAGTAGGCCTGTGGCCGGTGTGGGGAGCTGACGGGGTATCGGGAGGTGGGGGTGGGCTGGTGGGGTGCTCTGGGCTGCAGAGGGTACACACTTAGAACTCCAGGGAACCAGGAGCCAGAATTAGTTGGTGTTTTGTTTTTTTTAAGTTGGCACGTAACTGACATACAATACCCTGTTTGTTTCAGGCATTACCGTTGGGACTCAGTATTTATGTACATTACAGCGCGATCCCCAGGGTACACCTAGGTACCGTCTGTCACCATACAAAGTTATTCCAATGTTTTTATTGATTATACTCCCGGTGCTGTGCCTGACATCCCCATGGCTTCTCTATTTTGTTTTAAAATGGAATCTGTGCCTCGGAATCCTATTCCCTTGCCCCCAACTCTTCCCCCTCCGGTAACCGCCAGGCTGTTTCCTGTGTCTCTGAGTCCGTGCTGTTTGTTTGCTTTGATTTTTCGGTGACGATCTAAGTGAAGTCACACGGTGCTGGCCTGTCCCGGTCTGACGTACTTCACTTAGCACCATATCCTCCGGTGCATCCATTCTGTCTCAGATGGCAAGATTCCACTCTTTTTTATGGCTGGGTAACATTTCATTGAATATGACCACAAGCGCCTTTAAAAAATATATATATACATATGTTTTTCTTGATTTCAGAGCGGAAGGGAGAGGGAGAGAGAGATAGACACATCAATGATGAGAGAGAATCATGGATCGGCTGCCTCCTGCATGCCCCGCACTGGGGATGGAGCCCACAACCCGGGCCTGTGCCCTGACCGGGAATCGACCCCTGACCTCCTGGTTCATAGGTCGATGCTCAACCACTGAGCCACACCAGCTGGGCTGACCACAACTTCTTTATTCATCTGTCGGTGGACACTTAGCTGCTTCCAGATCCTGGCTGCAGTAAACAGAGCTGAGATGAGCACGGTGGGCGTGTGTCTGTCTGAATTTGTGTTTCCATTTTCTGGAGCTAAATGCCTGGCTTTGGGATTGCCGGGGGGGATGGCAGTCCTATTTTTAATTCTTGAGGAGCCTCCACACTGCTTTCCGTCGCGGTGGCACCGTCCGCACTCTCACCGGCAGCGCACGGGGCTCCCTTTTCCCCGGTGTTGCCAACACTCGCTGTTTATGGCCTTTGTGGCCGTCCGTTCTGACAGGCGTGAGGTGATGTCTCACTGGGGTTTTGATCTGCGTTCTCCTGATACTTCGTGATGTGGAGCGTCTTTCAGGGGCCTGCTGGCCATCTGTCCGTCTTGTTTGGAGAAAATGTCTATTCAAGTAAGTCCTCTGCCCTGTCTTTTAATTGGGCTGGTTTCTCCATCGAGTTGTGTGAGTCCTTGGTATATTTTGGCTCTTAATCCCCAATGAAAGTATAAGTGGCCCTGATCTCCTCCCAGCCAGGAGCTTGCCTGTCTGTGCTGTCGGCGGCGTCCATCGCTGTGCACAAGCTTTGCAGGTTGATGAGGTCCCGTTTGTTTATTTTTGCTTTTGTAGCCGTGTCTGCGGAGACTGTTCACGACGCGATTGCTCAGACTAACACCAGAGAACGTACGTCGGTGTTTTCCTCTAATGGTTTCACGGTCTCAGGTCCCACCCGCCAGCCTTCCGTCCACGCTGGGTTTACTTTTGGAGTAAGAGGTGGTTCCGGTTCGTTCCCTCGCGGGCAGCTGCTCCGTTTCCCGGCCCCACACGTGGAAGAGGCTGTGTCCCCGCATGCTCTTGCCTCCTGTGTCGCAGCTGATGGGCCGTCTGTGCATGCGCTTGTTCTGGCCTCGCTCTTCCACTGATCTATGGGCCTGTTGTGTTTTGTTTTTTTTAAAATATATTTTTATTGATTTCAGAGAGGAAAGGAGAGGGAGAGAGAGAAACATCAACGATGAGAGGGAATCATGGATCAGCTGCCTCCTGCACACCCCCTACTGGAGATGGAGCCCGCAACCCAGGCCTGTGCCCTTGACCGGAATCGAACCCGGGACCCTGTAGTCCACAGGCCAATGCTCTATCCACTGAGCCACACTGGCAGGGCTCCGTGTGCCTGGTTTTGAGCCGGGAGCATGCGGTGGGGTCGCTCTGTCCCTGTCAGGCGGTCCTGCGGGTTGCGAGGCAGGTGCCTGGCAGCACAGCCGGGAGAGGCGATGGGACAAGGTTCCAGCCCTCGCCGCCGCGGGCAGCGGTTGTCACTCTTTGTCTTTCTCCTCCCAGAGCCGGTCCTGTGCCGTCCGGGCCTGGGTCCCAGGAGCCACTTAAGTGAAAGGGCAAGACCCTGTAAGATGATCCCCGCCTCTCCTAGCATCTCCCCACCTTCAGCCTGTGGGACGCAGCAGCCCGGGACAGGAGCCTCTTTGTTTCGCTCGAGCTTATCTGCGGCGCTTTCCAATCTTGGGCAACACGCCCACTCCTCCTGCTTTTCTTGGGCCGGGGTGGGGGTGGGGGGGGTTGGGGGGGGTGCTGAGTCCCAGAACCCTGTGGCGTTACCTGTTGGGGGTGGGCTGTGTTTGACAGGGAGGGACACCCAAGGAGGCCAGCTGCTCCCCAAGAGGGACAGGGGAGGGTATTGGGGTGTCTCTGGGCTCCAGGCGATGTGCAGTCAGGGACGCTTTTTGAAAATAAAAACACCCCATTAAAAAATATATTTTTATTGATTTCAGAGAGGAAGGAGGAGGGAGCGAGAGATAGAAGCACCGATGATGAGAGAGAATCAGGGGTCGGCTGCCTCCTGACGCCGCCGCCCCCCCCCCCCCCCCCGGGGACCGAGCCCACACCCCGGGCCTGTGCCCCGA